ACTATAGTTGTTGTATTTGTATAAAGGTATCTATAATGTTTTTTTATGTTTAAATGTATGTACCTAGTGGTAGGTACACTCAAATATTTTTGATTTGTGAAGTCGATTTATACTTTCACGGCAAACAAAATTTTCATGATCTCCACGAACATATTATTATAATAAAATATTTAAATATATACGCACATTTTACCATGCCCCTAAAAAGTTTCAGGTTGAGCCTGGGTTTGACCGGTTCGCCCCGTGCGCACGCCGATGTAAGTCGGTACCTATATAGTACCTATATACGACGATATTCGATGTGTATTATCCGGTCCAAAATAGACTATAACAATCGAATGACACTCCGAGTAACCCCATAATAATATAATATAATACATAGGTGGGCAGTTATATCAAGAATCAAAATATGAACGTGTTACTAAGTTCCGGCAGAACAGACATACGAGTGTCGTGCGACTCGGAAACGCACACAGACGTACATAATACATTATAATATTAATATTATCGGACAACGAGGCGTCTCGGTCGACGGATTCTTCGACCACATCCTCTGCCGGCGTCGTCCAGTTGCATCCGAGACCGCGGCCTCGCGCGTTTCGCTTCTCCAAACTGCAGCTAACGTGCGATTAATACAACACAAGACAATATTGTATTATTATTGTTGTTGTTATAATACGCCCGATTGTATTACCGCTGGGAAACAATAGGCCTGGTTCTTATTCGGTTGTTACCGGCGTGTCGGCGCGATGAAATTAATACCGACGAAGACGACTGTGTGTACATAATATAATAACGACACATTACACATGGCATGCATATAGGTAATATATTATTCTATACCTCAGGGCTCCTGGAACCGAATCAACAACGCAGACAACTATTAACAACTATAAAATGTTTATATAAACGTTAGTTTTCTTGTATTAAAATAATACAATTAAAATATAGTCCAAACGAATTACATTTTTTTGATACGATTTTACTGTTCCCCAAACGTACTTTGCACCCTATTATTTTATATAAGTGAAATAATAATTAATTGTCTAGAATAGTATATACCTATTATATACTATATTATATTATAGTCATTATATAGGACATTGGTAGATCCATATCCATCTATCTAAAAGTTTTCACGCGTCGTCGCTGGTTGCTGGGGCTGCGGTGGCGGTATGATTAAAAAAAATCTTTGAAAACCGGTTGGCCGAGAATCGAATTAAACACGCGCGTTTTGATAATCAACTGACATGACGTTGTTATTGGACTATGGAATATTTATGATCCCCCGTACATCGACTCCCGTGGTCGATTGCACACCGTCAAAATAGTTAGCCCCCGTTCTGCAGACAAAGCCGAGATTACGCGTGTGCAACTTATAACCTATACACACATGTATATAATATAAAGGGACAGCAGTGGTACCTATACAATATAACACAATAATAATAACAACAACAGTGGTAACAACAACAACAACCACGATGTATATCGACGGACCGGTGGTCTGAACGACTGAACGAGCCCAAACGTTTTGGGGTGTCACTTTTCCTCTGAAATTGACTTTTAATTTGAAGCCGTCGGACCGTGAGGGATAAGCCTCTATATACTCGGGGAACTAGGTGGGCTCATCCCGCCACGAGACCTCTATATAGGTATACAGATATGACTCCGAACGAGGAAATTGGATGTATAGACGACGAGAGAAGAGTGAGAAAAAACAACATTTATTGTGTGGTGTGGAATTTAAATGACAATTTTCCGGTGAAAGCGCATCATCAATGCTATGTTAACTGCCGCGGACGCGTTTATTATATTATACAACAGCACAAAACACTTGAATGTGACCGGTGTGCATTATAATCGTTATTATTTTCGTATGAATAAAAGGAAGAAATTTAAATCCCTATATAGATATACACTCTCCCCATTGAATATAAAAAAACGTGATTTATATAATCTATGTATCATGTATATACCAATAAAAATAATCTATACAAAGTAGTATTATGGTACAGTAGGAACCACATGTGAACTGTAAAAGTAAATAATATAAAATAGTATAAATGAAATTGAAAATTAATTAATTAAAGTTATCTGACTGAATAATTCAGTATATGCGTTGAAATATTGTATATTAAATCTATAATAATATAATATATTAAGTGATATTCTATGTGGCTTTATAGTAACTGTTGAGTCTATTTGAATAGATACATCTAGGTACTTAAACTTAATATAAAATACTGAGATGTTTTTAAGTGAACAATTTGTTTCACTGCAGTGTTTTACATTTTATCGTGTCATTGTTGTCATACTGACATTTTTATCACGTTACCTAAATCGATATCCTATTAAGGTGTATTAATAATTGTAATAGTTTTACAATAAAGTAGTGTAAACTGTACCGTATATTATTTTACTCTAATGTTTTTTAAATGCAACTGAGGTATTTTATTACACACCTGATTCGTTAAACTTAAATTAAAAAAATATTAGTACCTATATATTTATATTTTGTCAGGGTACTAAACACGTGTTTAGTAAAATAGTTTAAATTTTTGTTTATATTATTGAGTTCTTGATAATTAGAAGTTGTCATTTATTGAACATTTGGACAAGTATATATACGATTAACTGTGGAAATTAATTGATATAAATATTTAGAAAACATTAGTTAAATAAAGATTAAACAACAATTATTTAACTGCATTACAAATAACAAATAGTTTATAAGACATATTGAAAAGAAAATTACAAATGTATGGAAAGAAATAAGTGAAATTTAATATAATATAATTTATAATGTAGAAAGAAGTTTACGGTTTTATTTCCTTAAAATATTAGAATTTCGTTATAGTTAGTTTTTCTTCATACTTTAAATTAACTAACGTTAATACTTAGGTATACTATTATCATATTGTGTTCCGGTATTCTTTCGTATGGATGTCATATTTTTTAGTTGATAATACCTTAATAATTTAAAAAGCATGTATACCTATACATTTTTTGTTTCACTATAAAAAATAAATAAATATTGTATGAGTATATCGTCAACCGACTGACTTAATGAATTTTTATTCACCACAATGGAAGTTGTTACATACATGTAAATTGTTATTTCTGAACATTATAAACTAACTATATAAATTCTTTTTTTATTAGTTTTACTAATTAATCATTGTATGGTTTGCAGTGTAAAACAAAATTTATAGGTTTCTAGTACATTTTTAGTCAATGAGTAGGTTACCTACCTTTTACATTTGTATCAGTTGTAATATTAAAAAAGGTGCTCTGCTGTAAAGTAGGTTACAAGTGGATCACTGAAGTATAATGGATGGTATTAAATTTGAATTCAATGATATAATATCATTGTATAAGAAAAACGATTCTGAGCGGAGACGGTATGTCAGTCTAGGTATAAGACATATTATATACTTATCTATGGTATTAAAAAAAATTGACCTATAATAAATTCCAAATTAATCATATCACAATATCCATTAGTACTTATAACGCTTTATACATCAACAACGAACCCTGGATACTATCATAGATATATAATAGTGTACTTTAGAAGTTTCAAGTACCCACGAATAATATTATACAATTACAACAAAATAACTAAAATTATAGTTATTCTAGGTTTTTTATTATGTAATTTAGTCCAAATTTGAACTTAAAATGACTATAAAAATTAACTGTGCTTCTGTATTTTTTAGATTTTTTGGTAACAAAATGAACTACTTAAGTGGAATTTTGTTTTAAATTTTTAATTCTTAGATATAAAAGTTGAACATTTTATAAATTATTAATTACAAAATAATTATTAAATTTTAAATTTGATAAATTTTGTCAAAATTCTTTGGTTCTTCTCTGTTTTTTTATTCTGAGTTAGTGGTCGATAACACGGCCATAGGGTATAGATACTATATACTAGTATCTATAGCCATGGCCGATACAAATCTAAAAGAAAAAATAGTATAGTCATATAGAAATTATAATGTATACATAATATACATATATATATATATATATGAACAGCATACAACTATATAATATAACATAATAACAAATAATGTATCTACGCGTAATTTTACCACCGTCGATAAACCTGTTGCAGCTAGCGATAATATTATATAAACATAAATGTATAATATATATATTATATACCCGAGTACTTGGCCGTATATTATGTTCAGCAAGTAAGTCATGAGTATTCGTTGGCGGTTATTCTCACCACACGTTCAAATTCAAAGCTAATTAATTTTGCAAAATGAGACTGTGGTGATTTTGAGTGGCGGCAGAGGTAGGGACGGTGTTTGTCCCCCCACTTAGGGGCTAGGACTTGGTTAATTTATACTAATAATGTATCCTATAATATAAAAAAAAATATTATTTATAGTAAGTATAGGTACTCAATTGACTACTGCCTTCGGGAAGAAGATGATAAAACAACTTTTCTCGCATATGTTTTGTGCCGATCTCCATTAAAGATATTATCTTTAATCGTGGTGCCGAACTGCCGAGGTACCTATACTAACTTCTCCACTCAAAATCTTGTCGAAACCGATACCTACTGGCTACTATGAACCATGGCATTCATAAAATAATATATTCTATATATAATATAGATATAGGTACCATTGTACCAATATAGCCAATATAACGTCATTGGTAGGTTAAGTAATGAAACGGTATTATAACAATATATAACATTATATTAATATTATAATATATGTATAATATAGGTACATGACGGAGTTCGCCATTAAAGTACATAATATTATTATTTATTAATAATATAATATTATAATATTATTGTAGCGTTGGTACTTATATACACACAATTATATGGACATATACCTTAAGTTAATATACACGCGCCCAAGACCGCGGGCAGGGATGCCGAAGACTTCGCTCGAGGTGTGTATATTTAATAGGTATATACCCAACTATTTATACCAGCTTAATAGTATCATATAGTACGTCATCGTAATATGCGAGACGCGCATGTGTGTTTTTGGGGGGTAAGTGGTGGTGTTCGGGCTAGGAACGGGGGCGATGGAACAGTAGAGCGAAGGGTTTGGCCGCCGGAAAGTCAGTCCTCCCCTTCACCCTCCGATCACAGCCGCATAAACCACCCCACGGAGCGGAAACGCGGGGCGCAAAGGACGAGAGGCGACGTGCCGCCTTCACTCACCCAATGGCGCAGGTCCGGCGGCGGATTGTGGGCGTGGCCCGCCGGCAGTCAGCCGCGTACACGCCCGTTCGGGCGAACTACGGGACCCGCGGCAGAGCCGTCTTCCGCAGGACAACGTCGTCGTGTCGGCCAGTCGATCGCGCGCAACACGTCCGGTTGACGACACGGATCCCGCACGAGTCCTTATTATTATCTACGCAGACATAATAATATTATTATTACTAAATCGTCGGTATATCGCTATCACAGGTCTGTTTCACGCTCGCTGCTGTACGTGTAACGATGCCGATGATATAATATTCTGTCGTCATATATAACTGCTGCAGTGAACCTCGTCGTTTCACGTGATCCGATTGGAATAATACACCGCACGGACAACGGATTTCCTAGTTGGTCCGTAATAATTATTGCACTGTAGCTCGGTCGCCGGACATCGTTTTTCACTGCGAGCCTACACCAAAAGGGGTACTATGATGATGTTGCAGAACCCGCTGTTCCAGGAGTACAACACTGCTCTGTCGCAGTTGCTCGAACTGCACCAACAGCAACACCGGTACCATCACCAACAACACCAGCACCAGCAGCACCAGCACCAGCAGCACCACCATCACCAGCATCACCCCAACAGACAACAGCTTCACCGTGCATCCGTGAACGGGTCGTCCGCAGCAGCAGCAGCCGCCGCTGCAGCAGCCGCAGCAGCGGGAGTTTTCCAGAGTTACTCGGGTGGCGTGAGGACGGCCAGCCGGGACAGCGCCGAGTCGGACGGGCTGAGCTCTTCGTCGCCCAGGCCTTCTAAGCCGTTCACCATCGACGCGATACTCGGACTTCAAGCAGGCGCCGCTGTGGGCCAGTCGGCCGCCGCGCTGCCGATCGACCCGTCCACTACTGGCCCGGTGGCCGCGCTCGACTTTTCCACCGGTTCGACAGCGGCTCACGGCAAAAAACTCCGCGAAGGTAATACTATAAAATATAATATTATTACATACCATAATATTATCACCGACGTGTACTCAGACTTTTATTTTGTAACCAATTGATTATATATAGTTCGACTATAGGGAATAGGTTTTGTATAGAGAATATAAGGTATATATAGTACCGTGTGTAAAACAAAAACAAGGTACCTACACAGAAAAAGTGAAGTTATTGCGCATACGCAAAATACAAGTGTTAAGACATTTTAATATAAGTAACTGAGTTATAGAGTGTACCCTCTTTTTGTGGACCGACGGTATAACAGTATATTGTATTATGATCTATCGTGATATATATTTTATTTTACAGTATAGGTATAGCTATACTATACTCAAATTATGTGCAGTTTGTAGGGCTCGAAAGTTGTATATGAGTTGCATATTTAATAATTTGCTGTCGATTTATAGCAGACCAAGGTATATATATATATATACATAAATCCATTCCGTATTTCAATACTGACTGTTTTGTTTTAAAACGGACGCTGCTCTTATATTATATACGCTAAATATAATATCAGGGTAATAATTAGTAACAATAATTTTACAATGCATAATATTCTTTTCACAAAAAAATTTGACAAGACGTGTCTTATGCAATTAGTCAACTCGCGATTACACTATAAGTAGGTGCCTTAATTACTACAATACAGTCGTGCAGACATAAGTAGGTATTTGGCGAGACCTACATCACGTTTGGGCTCTTTTCACTTTTCAGAGTAGAAAACGAATTCGTTCAACAGATTCATTCACTATATTATAATAATAACAGTATAAATTAATATGCAGCATCATTAATTTTACAAAATTATCAATTAGGTACACTATAATACTTTATAGTAATACGATACATATTAATATTATCCTGCACACTGCGTGATTACGCCACTGAGACGGTTATAATTGAGTGTCCTTTGAGGCTGATCGATTCAAAACAAATAAACGTTTTAATAGGTTGAAATGGCTATTATGTGTGACTTACGCATAATATATATAAGTAATAAAATTATTCCATCCTAAAGAATCTAGGCTAATGTAATATTATTATGTACCTATAGGTTAGGTATATCTGGACGTAAACATAAATAAAACTAGTTTTGAATAATATTAAAAAATACCTAAGTATGTCGAAGGATTCCTTCCCTAAGTTATTTCCCACCATCCTCTAATAAATATACCATAGGTATATTTATATTATTATTATTTATGGTACTTATAAAACTTATAGTCATATATTTTACGTTTGCTTTATATTATTATATAGATTCCAACAAATTTGTTTGAAATAAATAACTTCTCGCTAATTAGTAATTAGTATTACCAACCTATATGTTATTATTTATTGAATTTAACTGTTTTTCTGACTATACGATGTACTAAAAAAGTGAACATTATATTATTATGGTAGGTACCTACTCACAATGATTATTGTTAACTGCAATTAAAAAAGAATACAGTATACCTACCTATACATGAAAATATATTTTTTAATACCCAATATGCTCAGGGATATTTAATTAGTAAATTTGTTGTTTGTTACACCCTTCAACAACGACAAACGACAAAGAATTGGAAAACTGTTATACTACACAGTACAATAATACGATAATATTATATTAATATTACACCTATCTACTTGATTTATTCAAAGACAGTAAATATCCAATAACGCAATGTATAAAATAAAATTGTTCTACAATTTTTCAACAAACTCGTCAAGTATTACTGAAATAATTATACCCATACAGACACACTGCTGCTTTATCGTTGAATATAGTATAACATATGGATTATACATATATACATCTAATTCTAATACAATTAAGTCAATTAATGCCCGCTCCGAGAATAAGTCAAGCGAATAATTTTTTCAACACCCAGCTAAGTCCGTCGATCATTATTATTATTTATTAATACCTATTTTATGTTAATTTTACAAAATTGGTTATAGCTAGCTAACTATACAGGATAATTTTATATAATTACTATGTTAGGATAGGTTATATTTTGATATTAATTTGATACGCGAATGACATAAAAATAATTAGATGTCTAGATAATATTTTCATTGTTTTTGACATTTTATGTCTTTGCTTTGGCACATAGAATCGAAAAACGTTACGTTACGTTATTTATTTATGTTTATAAATGGTTGCCATGGGTCTTAAACTATTATAATAATAATTATTATGTCTTTGCTTTGTCACATAGAATCGAAATCGAAAAACGTTACGTTACAAAAAAAATTGCGAAATATATAGTTTTTCTAATTCTAGATTCGAACTCGATATAGATACGAGCTTATCACACAATAGTTAGGTGATAGATATATGATAGCAAGGACAACAAAGACATAAAATGTGGTACTTTATTGCAGACTATCGTATGCAATTATTTATATGATTTTTAAACATTCTATTTCAACAACAATTTCATGTTTCTCTTATATTATCATCAGTGCCGCAACTAAGATTTTTGGGCCCCAGGGCAGCAGAAGTTATAGTGCCCCAATTGTCCGTACATCATATTACCACCCCCCTGTAATAAAATGCTTTCAACCCTACCACAATTATACTATAACCGGGATGTATTGTAGGATGATTCTCGAATTTGTTTACATCAGTGTTCATATTAAATACCTTAACTACAGAATAGATTAAACCTATTCTGTGCTTTAACCATGGTTATAAAACACTACAGTCCAATCACCAATGTCATGGCTGAATCGCAGAAAAATAAGTCCCGATAAAAATTAATGAAAATATATCAAAATTGAAGTATAAATATGTTAAAAGTGTATTGAAAAATATATTAAAGTTGCATAAAAAAATCATATAATATCATAAAAAATGTTAAGTACTTACTTAAATAACATATTAAAATATAATAAAATGTAATACGTACAATAGTCAATAATAAATACAATTATATATATATACCTATACTATATAGTTATAATAATAATGCTATGAAAATGTAATATTATAATTAGGTACCTCTTCCTTATGTTATGACCTATACGGCTGTTAAAAAGGCCTGTTTATAGGTATGCAAAAAAACCTATTATTATACCAAAAAACGTTTGTTTTTATGTAATGTTCCAAATCAAAGTTCAAATTACAAGTATCTATATAGTAATTTCGTATATATTTATTAATCACTATATTTGAAAAACCATTCAAAATAAATTCCTATTATAACAAATTAAATTTTTTTTCAAAATTACCTCTGCTAATTTATGATGAATAATTTACAGTATGAAACTTTTTATATTTATCTATACATTTTGATATATACCATATTATCATTACACTATAACTAAATAGTAAATTACCAAGTTATAGCAAAAGCCAAAAATATGATCTTTATTAAGGAACTTGAAAATTAAATATATATATTAAAATATAATTTACACTATATAGTATATTAATATATTATAGGTATGTAAGCTCCCTTCTATTTTTTAAGAAATTATATGATTTTTTATGTAACTTTAATCTATTTTTCATTACAGTTTTAACATATTTATACTTCAATTTTGATATATTTTAATTCAATTTTTCGGGACTTTTTTACAGGGACTTTTTTTTCCGATTACCGTCATGGCCACATAATATTATCGAATTTCAGAGAAATCAAAAATTGATTATAAAACCGATAAGAGAATAAATATCGTGATATCGTACAACTATAAAATCGATAAGAAATTGTTAACAAAATACGAAATAGATAAACATTTTATATTTTTTAATTTTTATAATTTTTATTATTATTGAATCTAGACTAACACAGAAGGTACCAATCACAGGAATTGTGCCCTAAAATTATTCTTATAGTCTCTCGCCCCCTCCCCTTAATTACGGCACTGATTATCATATTTATGTAGATATTTGTTATTTTCATAATATTCTAACTAATCAGCGGATATTGTTTATTAAATTATAATATATACACATTACACATATTGGCTATTATTAATAGCTACATAATTTACATAAAAAATATAGTTTAACATCATCGATAAAAATTAACTATGTAGGTACCTACAAACAGTAGTCCGCAGTTAAAATAAACTTTAATAACAACACGACGTTGAGTGAAATGTTTCATGATATACAATATAATATATTGAATAAATTCATCATAATATTACGAAACTATTCGTAATTTTAACATAGTACGAGTACGTTAAACTCGCTTTAGACTATTTCAAACTAATATAATATACGTATACTATTACATGAAATATTTAAAAAGATATTATATTGATACACATTTTTAAACCAAAACTTTAGTCTTTGATAATATAATATCATAACTTTTATAATTTAATGCAGTAATTTGTAATTATTATAAAAACGTATAAAACGCAATTCAATCAAATCTTTTAATGCATACAATCTATTTCCGAGTACTCTTTACTTGGATAGGAATATGATATTATTAGGTCTCTATTAATTTCGAGCTTACAAAGAAATTGAATAACTATTTTCAATTATTATATAAAAAATCTATATAAATTATAAATATATACTTAATTCCCATTATTTGAGTCATTAAAATAGTGTAATAATTCAATTCAAAACTTAAGAAGCCATTTTTTATTAAAACTTATAGTGCGTAAACCACAGTAATTTTGACTATCAACTCTTTCCCGAACGCTGTAATAGTATACATGGCATAATTTAAAAATAACTTTAAAATATAAGATTTACAATAATTATTACTAGGCCTATATGTTACATAATCTATGGCCAATAGATAATTAATAAACGTTAGTGTATTTAGGACTGGGTTGAGTTTTTTCCGATCGATATGAATAAATAATATTATATTTATTGTTGTAATAATTACTATAGTAACATATCCTACAAAATTAAGCTAATACGATAATGGTAACCATCCTTAAAATAACAATATAACTTCAAGTATTGCAATTAATGAATTACAGTAAAAAAATAATTGTCTATAGTGTATTTA